AGACGTTTTTCTAATTTCAGTTAAGCTGAGGGCGTTCATCGGCTGTGAAAATGTCTTCAGCGAATGATGGGTATTCACGTCCACGGATAGCATACTAATTACTAGTGCAAGGTATTATACCCAAAACTCCCATGGCATTTGTTCCACGTAGAACAAAGACAAGTGAAAAGACCAGATTGATTATTCAAAATACGAAGCATATTTCGGGACCGAAATCGTAGTGCGAGGAAGGTGGTTTAACCAACCGGGGATCACGTACGAACAACCGAAGTAACACGGTAGCGTGTTGAATGGCGTGGATGCCTGACTGTGGACTTTCAACTAAGCAAGTCGATTTGAACAGTGCAAGTCACCATCCGCTGTTGAGTGATGAGTGCCATAGGCAATTAATTTTGGGTCAAATTAGTGAATTTCAGTGTTAAAAACTCTGAACTGGTCGAACTGTTCACTTATATAGCGATAAGAACGACTCACCATTACTAAGGTTATCAAATCAGAGTGTGTGAGGTTTTATATTAATGGAGAATCTAGATACACATTGCGACAATGGGGAGAAGTACGTAGACAGAACGCATGTACAATTTATTATATTATTGTATCCTTTAGTTCCTAGAGGAACATAGGGCTTCAGCTGTGCACCTCCATTGACTTCGGTTTTCTGACAACTTTTTCAACCTGCTCCAGGTCTGTCCACATGCTTTCATCTCCTCCTCGCATGACCTCCTCCAAGTCACCCTCACACTGACGACCAACTCGCCGCCTCCCTTTCGGGTTCCACTCGAGGGCTTGTCTAGTGATGTCGCACAGGAAGGTTCTTACGATCTGCGTAACCAAACTTCCACAGTGACAACTCATTCTTTTAAGTCAACACTCCGTGAAAACTTCTTCACAGTCATGTATTCTAAAATATGGAATAGCCTACCCCTAGATATCAGAACTTGCTCTTCGGTTACAAGCTTCAAACGCTCTCTATACAGACTGTTGCACTCTACAGATTATATTAATAAACTATTTACTCCTAGAACGAATCAAGCACTAATCTACTACAGCACCTAAAAGACGCACTTCAACACCCTTAGCAATCTTTAAACTATAAATAAACTAGCAGCATGGATGCATAAAGACATAGTACGGAACATACAGGATTAGTCTACCCTTAGAAATAGGACCTATCCCTCATTGTAACCTACAAACGCTTGCTATGTAAACAGTTTTATTCTAAAGACTATCCCTACCAGAACCCATTACTTATTTCTAAAACGCATCAGCCATTAGAACAATAAAAACGCTCAGGCTATTAATACACATTATGACATTAAATAAACTCTAAGACTTCGCATAAATACGTGAAAACGCAGATACAATATAGAAAAATGTTTACTTAAGTATAATTAAGATAAACATTTATAAATGAATCATGTATTAATGTTCTTTTCATGTTCACATACTTTCTCTTTCTGGTATTTTGCTGCTCCTATTCATCTTCTGGTCGAGGTCGAACAACCCTGCATCTAAACTGAAATGAGGATTAATTCCAAACTGTCTATCTCATAACCACTCAAATTCCATGAACGATCCAATTCTACCATTTGAAGACGCTGGCGAACATGCTGTAAATGAGTATTCATGATCTGAAATGAAGAAGCAACTGGTTTTCAAACAGTTTTCAACGTTTTACTCAACTTACGAATACAGTCCGCCATGCAGACACAAATGGAGCAAATGGAGGATTCTGGAATCGACCTCGGCACCATTTGATGCAGTAAAACAACCCAACATGACCTTATTTAGTTTTCGTATCCACGATCAAATTTCTTTCCTGTTATGAAACTACGATAAGAGTGCTGAAAAAATGGAATAAATATATCACTGATCTCAACATAATACATCAATAATCTTTAAGCCATGGGTGCTGCTCACAAAAAAGTTATATAAGAGAATTGACTTCAAGCTTTATTTTTCCCAGATATCTGTATTACATTCATCTGATGTCTGGGTTTTTTGTTAATGCGAAGACAATATTTCTATATCTCTTTATGTGCTACACAAACAGACTTTATAGCAGACTGTTCCTACTGACTCTAATGTCAGAAAGAACAACCAAACTGTAAATTCATTATACATTAAATTGTGTGTAATTTATATAATAACTTATCCATGCCTGTACAATTGGTATGTTCCTGCATAAACAGGAAGAAATATATATATTACTTGATGGTTTCCTCAGCGTATGGCCAATCCATCTCCATTTCTTTCTGCCTATTTGTTTCACAATCGGTTCCTGATTGGTTCGCTCCCAGAGATCCCTGTTGCTGATCTTTTCTGGCCATCTGATCTTGAGTATTGAGCGGAGACAGTTGTTAATGAAGGTTTGAAGTTTGTTTGAGATGCTCTTTATGACTCGCCAAGTCTCTGATCCGTATAGTAGCACTGACTTCACATTGGAGTTGAAAATCCGGATCTTATTTTTGATGCTGATTGCTGTTGACCTCCACACAGATTTGAGAGTAATGAAAGCTTGTCTTGCTTTTCCGATTCTGGCTTTGATGTCCTCGTCAGTTCCGCCTGTAGTTGAGACGATGCTTCCCAGGTAGGTGAAGGAGGTTGTTTCTTTCAGGTTCTTCCCATTTATGCTTATTGTGGTCTGTTGTGTTGTTGATGTTGGCTAGGAATCTTCATCATCTCTGTTTTATCTATGTTCACGTGAAGTCCTATCTTTGATGCTTCTTCTGCCAACTTGTTACTTTTCACTTGCATATCTTCCAGTTTATGGGAAATCAGACATATATCATCGGCGAAATCCAGATCCTCCAAGTCTTTTGTGTCAGTCCATTTTATGCCTGTTCCCTCGTTGGTTGCCGTTGTCTGTCGCATTATCCAATCAATTGCAATCAGGAAGATCATTGGTGATAGTAGACAGCCTTGCCTCACTCCCGTCCTCACTTCGAAGGCTTCCGTAAGTTTCCCGTTGTGGATTACTTGGCATGCAGCATTGTCGTATAACTGTTGGATGAGGTGTATAATTGTCGATGGGACCCCGTAGTAGCGAAGTAGTTTCCAAATGACCTCTCGATCGACGCTGTCGAAGGCCTTTTCAAAGTCGATGAAGTTGAGATAGAGAGGTGACTGCCATTCCAAGCTTTGTTCAATGATGATCCGTAGAGTGGCGATTTGATCAATACATGATTTGTTTCTCCTGAATCCAGCCTGTTCCGGACGAAGTTTTTCATCTAGGGCTTGTTTGATTCTCTCCAGGATGATGCGACTTAGTATCTTGCTTGGAATGGACAGAAGCATAATTCCACGCCAGTTTTTACATTGACTTAAGTCTCCTTTCTTTGGAAGTTTGAATAAGTAACTGTTCTTCCAATCCTCGGGTACTTTGCCCTCTTTCCACACCTTCTCCAGTAGTGGTGTCATCAAGTCCGCTGTTGTCTCTGGGTCTATTTTCAAAGCCTCTGCTGGGATTCCATCTGGTCCCGGTGTTTTCCCAGCTTTAAGCATCTTGATTGCATTCAGGACTTCTGATTTCGTCGGGGGGTCAGTGTTCACTGGTAGTTCTGCTTCCGTTGTTGGTATTGCTGGACGTGTTGTAGGTGGCGGACGATTTAGAAGTCTTTTGAAGTGTTCAACCCAGTGCTTTCTCTGTTCCACCTCTTTGGTGATTGACTTTCCATTGTCGTCCTTTATTGGCTTAATCTGTGTCGAACGTTTGCCCGAAAGGTTCCTAGTTGTTTGGTAGAGTGTGGCGAGGTCTCCTTTGCCTGCAGCTTGTTCTGCTTCGTTTGCCATGGTTTCATAATATTTTCTTTTGTCTTCCCTGGCACTTTTCTTCACTCTTTTGTTCAGTGTATTGTAGCTTGCATTCAGCTCCTGTTTTTGTTGCTCGTCCGTGCACTGGATAATCTTTTGCTTCACTGTCCTTCTCTCTTCTATTAGTTTCCAAGTGTCCGTAGTGAGCCACTGTTTGTCCTGTCTCTTTTTTCTGCCTAGAATTTCTATGCAGGTTTGGCTCCACACCGTTTTCAAGTTGTTCCAGTGCTTTTCAACGCCGACCTCTTCGCTAGTGTTGATTTGTGTCTCGGCTTTGTCCTTTATGCTTGCAATGAAGATGTCCTTTGTAGCCTGGTCCTTCAGCTTTTGAGTGTTGAACTTGGCTTGTGGTCTATCTGCAGCTCCTGATTCCCTGAAAGCTTTTAATTTGATTTGGATTGTCCCTTGTACGAGATAGTGGTCTGAGCCAACGTCTGCTCCTCTTCTTGCTTTTGTGTCCAGTAGGCTGCGCCTCCACTTCCTTGAGATTGAGATGAAGTCGATTTGGTTTTTGGTTTGCCCGTCTGGTGACACCCATGTAGCCTTGTGGATATCTTTGTGCTTGTATACACTGCCACCAATCACCAGTTCGTTGAAGGCGCAGAAGTCGGCGAAGAGTTCTCCGTTTTCATTCATTTCTCCTAGAGCTTCTCTACCCATGATGAGTTCCCTTCCCGTATTGTCTGGTCCCAGTTTGGCGTTCATGTCTCCCATTAGTATTTTCATGTCGCCAGCTGGAGTATTGTCCATTGTTGCCTGTAGTTGCCTGTAGAATTCTTCTTTCTTCTCGAGGTCTGCGTTGTTTGTGGGTGCATAACATTGTATGATTGACACTTTCCTTCCTTTGGAGTTGAACCTGGCGGTCATTATCCTGGACGAAATCGCCTCCCATTGTATCAGGGCTTTCGTTGCCGTTGGTGACATCATGTACAATAGTGACATTTAATTGCACGCAAACCAGAGCCCTTTCCAAAGACTCATAGAAGTGACATTTTAGTGTATAGAATTTATTATGCCACTTTTAAATCAATAAAGTGGACCAAAAACGTATTGGTCTTCTGTATCACATTTTCTGTCGTCAGATTTAATCTTTTGTTAGAATAACTAAACTTCAAGGTCTATCAGGAAAAGTGCGAGTATTTAAATCTTTTGGGCATGTTCGCAGCGTTGCAGAGATCTTGAGTGATATGTGCCGACATGTGAGGTATGGAAGTGTAATAACGATTTAAATTTAATTTTGTGTTTGTCTTTAACTAATTAAAGGCTAGCGAATTTTGATTTGTCACTTGGCAATAAACAAAGCTAATTAATTATCAAAACCAATTGGTTTTTCTCAGTAATTTTCGTGCGACTTCTCATAAGCTTTGCATAGCTAGTAAAAAACTGGTTACACCTTAAGAGCTTTGGCAAAACACTCGTGAAAAACTCTGTGCGAACTTCTGGGAGCTCCCAGGGGTTCAAAAGTCTTGAGGTTAATTTTCACTGAACAAGGAAAAACATTCAGCCAATAAATGTACATCTTTTTTATACGTTAGTTAAATAAAATCATCCAGACTACGCAGATTTTTCGAAGAATTCGGTTGCGTTGCAGAAACTAAAAAATATGTCCCAGAGGAGGATTGTGCCATAAGTTTTCGTGGGTTTTCTGCCTGAGATGTATGTAGTGCGACTGGTATTTTGCTTAATGTTCCATTGATGTTTCCAAAGACTTAGTGGAATTGCAGGATTTACTTCTTAATCCATATATATAACTTTCCCGTTAGGGTGCTGTTTTTGGCTTGTAGTTTGTCCGACAAGGGAAACCTTCAGCAGTGCTCTAAGTGTTTGTTATGTGCTGTATGTGTACTTCGTTTATTTCCCAAGGTTGTTGTAGTTTGTCTGGAATTCTTGTTAGCAATTTTTAATATAAAATATTTATGTTTGAGGGTTCGTTTCTAATGATCACTCACTTCACGTTAAAAAACGTTCTATTGACGTTCCAATTAGGACTGATTTTACCGTGCTGAAATGTGTATAACATGGTCGTCACTTTCTTTCTGCTAAGTGCGAGCAAACTAAAGTCAATAAAATATTGTCATGACATTCAGACTTCCAGCGAAGATATGGAGGTAAATGGATTTACCCACACTTTATTTACATTATTCTCTGCAGTAACCTGTAAAGTAGAGTCGACAAAGCGGGGGCAGATCTTTTAGTATGATTTTTAGATGTTTTAATGAGTCACAATAGTGATTAGTGGAATAAAAACATTCTGCCATTTCTCAGTGATTATTAAAATACTTGAGGGAGATGATGATTTAATAGGTAGCTAGCTTTCCAATCCGACAGAAATAAAAGGACATTTATTGCATGTTTTACCACTAAATGTGATTTAACTGTGTTTCTAGGCTAGTGAATTCTTAGATTATGAGTTTCATTATATTTTCAAACAATGAGAAGCATGTGTATGTCTCATATTATTTCGAACGACAAAATATCTGCTTCAAAGTGTCCTTTTCAACATCAAGACTGCCTGAATGAAACCCCAGTTCCACTTATAGTCCTATAATTAACACATATTCTGATCCTATTGCTTCCAGAGTAGGCTCATACTTGTTACCTGAGATGGTAGGTTGTTTCAAAAATAGTAGAATACTGTGTTCAGTTGGCATTAATGATGTCCATTTGCCTACAAAATGCTTTTTCTCCCTTTTGATTTCCAAATTGATGACTACAATTCTGAAAATCCCTCTAGTAATCCTTTCTACTTGTCGTTTCTAATGTATGCAATGTGTTTACGAGAATTTCAAGCGCTCTTTTCTTTTAGAAATCAAATTAAGATTTTTTTGATTGAGAACAGAAGGCTTGAAGTCTATGTTAATCCTTTTCTAGTAAATTTCTTTGTTTGCCAAAACCCTTCTTGAATGATGAATCGATTGAGACTGCTGACACCATTCTTCTGGGATTCGGTTACAGGAGCTTATGACTCGGTGTGTGTGTGTGTGAACCAGTACTCCACAGCTTCTGAACTCTTCTGCTATGTTTGTAGGGGACTTTATAGTGAGCTCGGTAACCGGATAAATAATAGAATAAAAATCTATGGTTGGAAACAATTGGTGACATGGCTCAAAATCGTTCTCAGTGGCGCAGATGCATCCACTCCCTGTGACTTATGATCTCCAATGAAACTGTTTTGTATTTCTTTATTACTCCTTTGTCTCACACCTCTGCTCACTGTTTCTATTTGCTTTTCTTGTACTTTCTTCTCTTGCTTCGCGTGCTACACGGAATGTGGCGACTTGAACTTCCGCACATTTGTGCAAAGTTCTATGTCGAAAACAGACAGACAGACAGACAGAATAAAAATCCAAGTTAATGAAATGATAGTGTAACAGTATATTATATAAACTAATGGTTACTTGGTGTTATACAGCTAACGTTCTCTGAAACAAATTATTAATATAATCCACAACAGTGTTCACTGCTGGAGTCGTGTTTACTAGTAGAAGCTGCGCACCGCTTGTAGAATAGTTTTCGAATAAGAGATTCCTGCAAAATCCGAAGGATACAACACGGCTAACAGGGATGTAAGTAAACAATATGGATGGGGGGAGAAGACGAAGCGTCGGGCAGCAAACTGTATTTTTGATTGCACTCCGAAGGAGTTATGTTCACTTTACTATGAATCGTATTCCATAAAAGTTTTGTATAATGTTTCTAATGTTTTTAACATCCAACAAAAAGCTGTAAAATCGTATCGTTCCAGACTCCATATGACGAAATCTTACCACAGATACAGAGGGCTAGTTTCGCGTATGCCAGTTTACGCCGTCTGTAGCATAGTAGATGTGATATCCGATTATCGAGCAAAGGGAATGTGTACCGCCTAGCAGTCCGATCCGTCCTATTTTGTGGCTGGCTTTGAGACCTGGCCATTGAGAGTGGAAGACATGAAACACCTAGCCAGCTGTCTTTGATCATAAGTGCCTGCGTTTTATCTCCTGTGTGAAGTGGCATAATAAGGTGGGGTTAAGCGTCGAGTGCTAGGTAAGGGAGGGGGGGAATCAATCGACGAGGCTGTGAAGCTACGTCGACTGATATGGTTAAGACGTATGTTCGGCATACATGCCTAGCCATTACCTTCCTTGAGTGACGGCCAATATTAACTGATATACAGTCAGGTTGGAAAAGAGCCACTGGTAGTCAAAGCGAAGCATGGCTTCATCTGTAAATGAAGTCTACAACACTTAGTTTAAGCCAGCCAGCCACGTAGGAAGGCGTAGACTTCCTGACTGGCTGGTTTGGGTCCTCGAGACGGTAAACACCAATGAATGGTGGAGACAATCAATGGTATGGCTCAAACTCATTGTTCTTGATGATGGCTCAGATGCATCCACTCCTTGAGACTTGTGATTTCCAATGAAACTATATTGTCTTTTGATATTAATGTTACTTTATCTCACATCTCTGTTTACTGTCTCTATTATGCATTTATTCTACTTCCTTCTCTTGCTGTGTGTTCTACATGGAGTGTGGCGACTCGAACTGTTGCACATCGATGCAGCATTAGAAATCGAGACAGGTTACAATGTCGAGCTCGTTGACTATTCAGCCACTTGGACTAAAAATTCAGTGGCATCCTGAATTCCAACTTCCATCAACTCGTGTTTTAGCGCCGCTACCAGCCAATGAAGTCGACGAGTATTTGTTGTCAAATCCGATCTTGTGTAACTCATTGGTCACTAAGACTTCATCCTACAGCCATTGGCGAGCTTGGCTTCGTAACCTGAAGGTGCTGGGTCTGATCCCCGATAATGAGGGGTGGATGAGTAGACCCCCAAACTAGGGGAAACACCTATCCAGTACTCCTTGTTGATTTTCAGTGGTTGTCCAACTGACATCAATCCATGATTAAAATTGAAATAAATCATATCCCTGAAAACTAACTATTGCAAGTGAATCTGATGCTCACCAGTGATTGGCTGCAAGGACAAAGTTGTCTGGAGTGAGTTCTAGTAAGAATTCGTAACCACTTGAGTCCATCCGGTAGGGAATAAGGACAAATACTCGCCGCAGTTGACATTGGCCGATGGTCGTACTAAAACCACTAATCGGAAGAGGTTGGAATTCGTGGGTTGGTTATTGAGTCGAGTCCCAGTGGCTGAATGGTCTACGAGCTTGAATTGTAATCGGGAGACTCTGGGTTCGAACCCTGATGATGGATGCATACTGGTGATGAATTCGAAACTAGGGCGAGACAGCTGGCTATCCACTACCCCCTGGAGAGTTCTCAATGGTTCCCTAACTAATATCAATCCGGGATCAAAACTTAAAACAAATCAAGTCTCTATAAAGCAACCCTTGAAAAATATATCTTTGTTAATACTATTATTATCACTGTTATTCTCCCGGGTTCCTTGTGGAATACAGGGTGTCAGCAGCACGCCGCCTTTCCACTCTGTTCTCACCAATCCTCTTTACCCATCTCCACGATAATCCTAGTTTATTAGCTGGTTTTAAGCCCGAAGAATGTTTAGGAGTAAGGCCAGTAACTCTACCGCATAAAATCAATCTAATCGCTACAGAAAAACTTTAAAGCGAACGACATTAGCGCATAGTTTTACAGGCGTACTATGTATAGGTTCATTTTTATTGATTCCGTGTAATTTTTTCAAAGTTGAACTCAAAAGAAGAACTTAGAACCCCAAATCGAATTAGTAAATGGTCTGGTTATCTGTGATTTTCACTGTGTTAAACTTACCCTGTCTTAATAAAAAAGGTGGGGTGGAAGGGGGGAAGTGTATTTGATGGAAGAAATGCGTTCACAATATAATGAATGTTTTGATGATATTAGACAGTGGTTGGAGGCAATCGGTCACAGGAAGCCTTGATAGGATCTAGGTTTCGCGTTAGTTGGCACTCACCAGTCAGCCGACTCTGGCGTATACGAGATGTTCGACTATCGACCAAAGGGCGGGTGTACTGCTCATCAGTCCGCTCCGTCCTCCTTTATGGTTGAGACCTGGCCACTGAGAGTGGAAGACATGAAAAGACTAGCTGTCTTTGATCATAGGTGCCTGCGCTCTATTTCCCGTGTAAAGTGGCAATAATAAGGTGAGCAACATTGAGGTTAGGCGTAGAGTTCTAGGTAAACAGGGGAAATCAATCGACGAAGTCGTGAAGCTACAAAGACTGAGATGGTTAGGACATGTGTTACGTATGCCAAGCCATCGCCTCCCTCGACGAGCAATGTTAGCGGATATAGGGTCAGGCTGGAAAAAAGCTAGCGGCGGTCAAACAAAAACTTGGCATCAGTCAATGAAATCCACAACAGTTGGTCTAAGCCACGTAGGAAGGTGTAGACTTCCAGGTTGGGGTCCTCGGGACGGTAAAAATCTATGGTTGGAAGCAATTGGTGACATGGCTCAAAATCGTTCTCAGTGGCGCAGATGCATCCATTCCTTGTGACTTATGATCTCCAATGAAACTTTTGTTTTTCTATATTACTCCTTTGTCTCACACCTCTCCTCACTGTTTCTATTATGCTTTTCTTGTACTTTCTTCTCTTGCTTCTCGTGCTACACGGAGTGTGGCGACTTGAACTGGTGCACATTTGTGCAAAGTTCTATGTCGAAAACAGACAGACCAGTCAGTCAGTCGGCAAGGCGTATCTGCAAACAGCTTGAAGCAACTCATGTCCTTCCCCTTCTGAGATTCGAACCCTCTGCGTCACCCAGTGAGTACTGCAGTCACAGGCTTCACTACTGAGCTATACGGGCTTGCGATTGACCTCCTATAGGACTGTAGTGGGGTAGTTTGATTGGATACTAGTCAGTAACTGGTGTGACGCGTGTGTCTAGTCCTTTTTGTTTTGGTGCAGACTGAATTCTCTCAGTCAGTCAGGTTTGAAATATGACCACCATCATTATGCCACTAGGTAGCTCGCCATCACAGTGCACATTGATTTGATGATATTAGGTGGCGAGCTGTCCAGAACGGTGGCCACATAGCAAACCTGACTGCCACTTAACCAGCTTGTTAATATTCTGGTTGACAGGTACTTGGACTCATGTGAAAAATGAGCTAAATCCATTTTATCTGACTCACACCACCCTCTTCATTCACAACTCTCCCCTTGTATCTATCTCATCAGGCAGGACCAGAAGCCTATATAGAAAACTATATGCCCGCACTAGCAAGTACAAAAACTCAACCATACCCTACCTACTTAGATCGTGTTCTGTGCGATAAAGAAAGCATTAGGCGCGATACCTATAACTTATTAAATAGTCAGTAGAACAACTGGATATCATCTTTCCAACTCATCTCATTTATAGGTACAACGTTTTTCCTTCTTTCTTTTCCTTTTCTCCCTCTTTTTTCTGTTATGTGCAGCTTTGTTTCTTTCTTCTGTTTACGCCAGTAAATATGCTAGAACCCTACTTTTCCAACACATTCCGGCACTCTGTTTAATTTTGGCTTTGCTACCGAAATGCCAATATGTTATTGTCAAAACTAACTGAGATTACCCCTAATCTATGTAGAATTTTATTTTATTTAATGTTAATGTACTAACTGGATGCAATATTGTAGTAAAATGCTGAGAATTCCATTCTGTATTGACAAGTACAGTTTTGGAATAAAGTAAATTATTATTAGTAATTCAGTCTGCATCCAAAACAAAAAGGACTAGACACACGCGTCACACCAGTTACTGACTAGTATCCAATCAAACTACCCCACTACAGTCCTATAGGAGGTCAATCGCAAGCCCGTATAGCTCAGTAGTGAAGCCTGTGACTGCAGTACTCACTGGGTGACGCAGAGGGTTCGAATCTCAGAAGGGGAGGGACATGAGTTGCTTCAAGCTGTTTGCAGATACGCCTTGCCGACTGACTGACTGACTGACTGACTGGTGAGTGCCAACTAGCACGAGACCTAGATCCTGGGAAGGCTTCCTGCGGCCGACTGCCTCCAACCACTGTCTAATATGCCACCAAACCATCAGATGTGCACCGTAATGGCGAGCTGCCTAGTGGCATAACGATGGTGGCCACATTGCAAACCTGACTGACTGACTGACTGACTGATAGAATTCAGTCTGCACCAAGGATAGGACTAGACACATAGCGCTAGTTACTAGTGTCCAATCAAAGTTATATATAGTCTGCTTGTTTTATTAAGAGTTGACTTGTAACCATCTGATTTGTTTTTCCGAGTTTGACCACGGATTGTGATATCAGTTAGAGAACCAGAGAGTAGTGGATAGCCAGCTGTTTCGTCAGCCTAGTTTACGACTCATCGGTAGTACTCACCCACTAACCAGGATTCGAATGCAAGACCTTCTGGTTACAAGGCAAGCTTGTAGACTTTTCAGTCACTCGGTGGAGGGGGGACCTGACTCAATGGTCAGTCCATGAATTCGAATTTCTATCAGTTCGTGACTTTTAGCGCGATTATCGACCAATGTTATCGGCAAGAACTCCATCCTTACTCCTGACTAGATGAACCTCACTGGTCACGAATTCTCACTAGATCTCCAGGAAGCTCCGTCCTGTAGCAAGTCAATAACAAGCATGAGATTAATTATCAAGAGTTGGTTTGTAGAAATTTGACTTGTGAATGGCTACAGGACGGAGCCTTCTGGAGATCTAGTGAAAATTTGTGACCAGTGAGATTCATCTAGTCGTGAGTGAGGATGGAGTTCCTGTCGATAACATTGGTTGATAATCGCGGTAAAAATCACGAACTGATAGAAATTCGAATTCATGAACTGACCATTGAGTCAGGTGACTGAACAGTCTACAAGCTTGCCTTGACACTGGCAAATGCCAACTAGCCCGAAACCTAGGTCAGGCAAGGCTTTCTGTCGATTGCACCCTGATGGCAAGCTACCTAGAATGGTGGCCACATTACAAAGCTGACTGACTGATAGAATTCAGTCTGCACCAAAACAAAAAGGACTAGACACGTCGTCACACTAGTTACTGACTAGTGTTCAATCAAATGAGATGACTGTGTATTTTATTCTTCGAGGTATTTTTGTCAGACTTATTATCTAAATTAAATATTCCCATAATTTATTCAGGACAAAATATCTAGAGCGAACAATTGTTTTCAATAAATTCTTCTTCAGGCTCTACAATTGTAATCCATTAACGCTTGGTCAAGTTTTATCGGGTGTCCAGTATCTCCCAAGTGGGCTAAGACTATTTATGCCTTTGGTTACTCCTTTACTCAACCATACAGGTACATGTTCACTTGCGCGCATGGATAAAGCCCTCTGAGTAAGGCCAATGTAACTAGCTCCACATGAGCAGTTGAATTCGTAGATGCACATTGATGAGACTTATTATCCTATTTTTCTTCTCTGTACTTCATTCTAGGTGGAAAAATGAACCAGCTTTACCAGGTAAAGCTTATTGTCCAACAACAATTGAACAATTGGCCAACTGTATTTCACATCTCCCATGTATACCATTCGGTGTGATTGGCATGCTTAGGTTATACTCAAAAGCGGATACCTATTCTGAGTCTATCGCTGCTATTGTCTATGGTTTTGCCATTATTTCACTATTTCTTGCATCATCTGTCTTCCATGTCTTCTGTTTGTTTCATTCGAAAGGGTAAGTTCAAATGAGTGTTGTTTTTAAAAAAATATTTCTAACTATTTTTTAATATTTATTTATTTATTTTAATTCGTTTGCGTTCCGATTGGAATATCGGATTTCAGCGCCCCCCCCTTCCCGCCGTCTCAGCTTTGAAGTTGCATTAGCCAGCCTTCAAGCAGGTTGATCGCTGACAAAATCTCAGTACGGATACAGAAGGCTCGCTTCGGATATGCCAGTTTACGCCGTCCTTGGCTTTATATACATGATATCTGACTGACTGGCTGTCGATCAAAGGGCGTGTGTACTGCTCAGCAGTCCGCTCCATCCTCCTTTAACTCTGGTTGTGAGACATGGCCATTGAGAGACATGAAAAGGCTGGCTAGCTGTCTTTGATCATAGGTGCTTGTGTTCTATCTTCCGTGTGAAGTGGTATAATAAGGTGAGGAATATTGAGGTTAGGCATCAGTCGAGTGCTAGTTAAGGGAGGGGGAAATCAATCGACGAGGTTGTGAAGTCACATCGACTGAGATGGTTAAGATATGTGTTACGTATGCCTGGTCATCGCCTTCCTCGAGTGGCGGGCAATGTTAGCTGACATAGAGTCAGGTTGGAAAAGAGTTGGGCAGTGGTGGTCAAACGAAAACATGGCTTCATCGGTCAATGAAATCCACAACAGTTAGTTTAAGCCACCCAGTGAGTCACGTAGGAAGGTGTAGACTTCCTGACTGGTTGGTTGGGGGTCCTCCGGACGGTAAACACTAATGAAGGCTGGAGACAATTGGTGATACGGCTAGCTCAAAATGGTTCTCGATGATGGCGTAGAAGCATCCACTCCTTGTGGCTTACAATACCCAATAAAACTATATTGTTCTTCTATATTACTATTCTTTTTGCCTCATATCTCTGTTTACTGTCTCTATTTTGCATTTCTTTTTACTTCTTCTCTTGCTTTGTGTGGGCTAAATGGAGGGAGTGTGGCGACTCGAACTGCTGCACACCGATGAAAAGTTCTGTGTTGAAACTAGACAGATAGACAGAAGTTTCAGCACATTGGTAGTGTTTCTCTTCTTCATACCCAACCTTCCCTCGTTATTGGTCTTACTGTTGGTTAGACAAGGTTTAGGAAGAAGTATCTTGACGTCCCTGAATAGTACCCCGGACTGTATGAGGCATGGTTGACGAGTGTTCTACTCCAGAAATATGCAAATTAAGATAGTTATGAAGTTTGTAGTGCCTGTGGATTTTGTGTTTTACTTTGCTATTTTGGTTTAAGAAGCCTGTGGATAATTATATTTAATAGTACTGTGTGATATAACTGTCGTCAGCATTTTGATGATCTTATTATTATTTATTTTGACGAGTTGATCACGGATTGATATCAGTGAGAGAACCATTGAAAACCACCACTGGAGTACTGGACAGCCAGCTGTTTCATCCTAGTTTGCGAATCATCGGGGTACACACCTACTCCACAGGGGGTTAGAACCCAGGACCTTCCGGTTACAAGGCAAGCTCGTATACCATTCAGCCACTGGGACCCGTTTCAATCGCTAACCCATGAATTCTAACTTCTACGAATTCTTGATTTAGCGCGACTGGCATCAACCAATGTCATCGATGAGAACTCGATCCTCACATTTGACTGCATGAGGACCTCACTAGTCACAACTTCTCACTAGCCAGAACTCCAAGAAACTCTTGGGTTTCGAGTGAGACATATCATTCTGATCTCCACAGCCTTCTTTAGCTGACTCTAACGATTATCCGTAGGTCCTTGTCTCCTCCTTATACGATCTTCTCCAATTATCCAATGATATCAGTCATCAATAGATATCAAAGTATAATATCAAAGAAAGTTGCATGAGCTGTAATCAAAATTTGACCACAGACTACTTCTGCTAAACACTGTCAACAGTGTATACTTTTGTATCCGGCGATTAGGGAAGACGTTCGACTGAAAGTTCATGGCCATAGATAACTGAATATTGAAAAAATATATCTAAGTATCTGAGGTACGCAATGGTGTGTGTGCGTGTGAATGCGGAAACAGTCGTAAATCATTTGTTAGCCTTTCCATAAGAAGCCACAGACAATCGGGGAATTCAAATTAAGCAGGATGCATTAATGATACATATCCATTTTTGGATGGAGGATGTCATCATCAGCTGACATCAGTTTGAGAACCACTGGAAAACCAGCTTGGAGTACTGGACAGTCAGCTATTTCGTCCCAGTTTTGGACTCTTCAGCAGTACGCACCAACCGCCACGATTTGAACCCAGGACCTTCTGGTTACAAGGCTAGCGAGCTCTTAGAACATTAAGCTAGTCACTAGGATCCGATCCAATGACCAGCCCATGAATACTAACTGCTGTCAATTCACGACATAGCGAAACCACTTCGCGATATCTTCTGCTTTGAATGAGTTACTGCCTCATCTTCAACCTGCTGTTGTACCCTACTGGTCACGGCATCCCACTAGAATCCACTTTTACTCATTTATTTATTAATCAGGACTTGTCATGCATCCGCTAACCAGATCACACCTCCACGTCTGTTCAGTCATTTGGGATTCATCCTTATATGTAGGGCTTCCGCAGTCAGTCACTCTTTCTTAAAACGAACCAAAGACATTCTGTAGAACTTTGGTCGTGTCAGTCAACCTTGTGTCCAATTTCTATCCGACTTGAAATGTTAGTTAGGAGGTGTGAATATAGGCAGATTACAAGAGGCATAGAAACAAAAAAATTACACAGGATTAGAATATAATTGTAAAAAATTACTATTCTAAACGGATTACAAGTGTGATCAGGAGGAGCATGGAAATAAACTTAAAATAACTGTTTTTATAACTGAAAACAGAAATGAGGTGAATCGAATGAAGACAGTGGGAGTAAGAATCACACACACACACAGAGAGAACAAAAAATGCTGAAAAATTAAAGGAGAACGAACGAACGAAGAAAAAACGGAAGAAAAGGGAACATACCAAACAAGGTAGGTCACCCATGGTAGTTGTAGAGGTTGGACTAATTTCTTTTGAACACACAGCTCCGGTTTCTCGATGCATATTGCGAGGGCTTCTGCAGTAAAAAGAAGTCGGAAACATATTGCTCTTGTTAGGTTTCTGTTGACTTTGTAAATCACTTTGAAAGAATCAGTTGACATGTTGTGGGAGGTGTTGACCAGATGTTCAATCATGGCACTTCTAATTGAACCGGTGCCTCCTCTTTGCAGCCACTCTGGGTAATGTTCTCTAACACGTTTTGAAAGGACGCGCATACAACGTGTTTCTAAGGCTCTTGTAATTTATATTTACACCTCCTAACCTTCATTTCAAGTTCAAATTATTATTTCAAATTTTCAGTTATAAAACTAGTTATTTTAATTTTGTTTCCATACTCCTCCTGATCACACTTGTAATCTGTTTAGAATAACAATTTTTACAATTTCTATCGAGCATATGTTATATAACATAGAGAAACTACTTCTTAAAAGATAATTAACTCAGGTTGAGCTCAGCTATTAAAGTGTATATATATTCTACGCTACATCTCTTCTCCTTATATTTCAAACAACTTCGATTCCTGTTCCTATTCTACAATTAAAAGACGAAATTAAGTCTGGACTCTCTTTCACAGTGTATCCACAAATTCATCTGCTGTTATGTAGACATATATATATGGAATCAATAGAACACATGACATAAATAGATTTTTCGAACATATCAACTCAAATTGGTGGATGGTGACTAGCAGTGGAATCCAGGATGTGCACTTCATCATATTTGGGACCCGTCGGCGGAATGTACTTACATTTCTCAGTGAGTGATGATGTTCCCACCGAGGCTCGAACCCAGTGCCTGTAATTTCAGACGCCAAAGCGTTATCCACTAGACCACTTGGGCCTGAGAGCCACCTCTTGTGCAACAAGAAGCCGACATGTCAACCTCAGACGGGGCATTTTGGTCCAATCAATCGACGGGAAAATCTAAAATTCAATTCAATAATTAATATATGACCCGTTGCACAAGAGGTGGCCAGCTCTCGTGGCCCAAGTGGTCTAGTGGATAACGCTTTGGCGTTTGAAACTATGGGCACTAGGTTCGAGCCTCAGTGGGAGCAACATCACTCACTGAAAAATGTACGTACATCCAGCTGACGAGTCCCAAATAGGACGAAATGCGCATCCTGGATTCCACTGCTAGTCACCATCCTCCAAATAAATACTAATTAAATGGCCAGACATCGTCGAAGCATCTGCACAAGAAGCCGATATGTCAACCTGAGACCGAGCATTTCGGTCCAATCAATCGACGGGAAAATCTAAAATTCAATTATATTAACTCAAAGGTAGAGACCATTCAATTCACTTCCCCTATGGAAGTGGAAAGTCAGGAACAGAGGAACTTCCAGTGTTAGATTGTAGCGTAAAAAGGAAAGAAGATGGGAAGTTAAACACGCTAGTGTATTTACAGGAAATCCATACATTCAAGCAGATATTTGGATTTCCAATCATCCCACTTTATGTCAATTAATATGAAATTGATGAAATGTTTCAGTAATAGGGCATAAAAACTAAATAGCACTAAGGTAATATCAAAGACAGGAAGTGAGGCATATAGGAGAAGCTTTGAAAGTTAATAATTACCCTGACAGATTAATCAGGAAGTATGTAGGGAAATGTAGAAATAAAATAAATAATGATAGTAGCGATAGTGATAATAATAATAATGATATTAATGACGACGTGCATGTCAAACATGCACAGGATTATGACAACACCAGCAATAGGGAATATAAATCATCAGTAGTACTTCCATACAATGAAGAAACCTTGGAAACCACCTTACAGAGAATTTTTAACAATACAGGCAGGAATAAAAGTGGCTGGTATTCAAACCAACCAAAAACTCAATTAGAAATAAGCTTTAAAGGATCAATCCTGTGGAGCCTTTAAAACAAAACTATTTAGTTTATCTAATACCCTGCTTGAGCGATTGTCAGGTCAAATTAG